ATCTTCCTTCTCTCAGGGCTAGGGGCCCTCCCTGGTGTTTCCATAGCCTTCTGGGCCTATTCCTATCACTGCCCACAGAGCTGTACTGTAATGACCTATTTCTGTGTCTGTTTCCCACCTAGAGCTTGAGCCTTGATGGGGGGGTTGGTGGGGGGGAGGGTATGTCTTTTCCATGATTACAGGCCCAGGTCTAGCCAGCCCTTGAAGAAGGATCCAGAGATACGGCAACCATTAACTTTCATTATTATAGTGAGTCTCTCTTCTTTGCATGTTCCTGAGTGAGGCATGAAATCTTTATATCCACAGATATTATATGGCAAAAAATAAGTGCATCAGTTTTCCGGTGACGTTTAGCGTTCTTGGTCTCTGCGCCTCATCTCATCTGACCTGGTAAGCGTCTCTCTATCTCTCAGTCACAAGGCTCCTTATCCACGACTCCCTCAGAGAGGGGTTTCAAAGACATCCTGTCTCTCTTCTTGCTCCTGGGAGCAGGTCTAAAAGTGATAATCAATTCATTTAGTTAATTGGCATATTACTGTCTCTCCATTTTGCTTCCCAGTATCCATCTGACCATAGTATTCGTGCTCTGGCAGCCTTCTCCAGACACTTACACAAGCAAGTGACTGATCTTTGACCAGCTTGCAAAAGATAGCTATTAGACTGTGTCTCTGTTCACGGACCAAGATTTACTACAGAAGTTGTAGAGTTGCCTTCTGCCAGATGCTGGCTTAGAAATGCACAGGAAGTACAAGCTGACCTTGCCAAGAGTTCAAGGCCCAGGTGCTTTCATCCTTTGGGTGCTGACTAGAGTCTTCCTCAGCACTTACAGAGCCCCCTGTCTGCCTCCATCCTGGTGCCTACAGGAAATACGTCTTTGACTATGTGAGCATTTATGTGGCATGATTTCTGAGACCCCAGGAAATCCCACCCATCCACTCTCCAACTTATTCTGTCATGCCTAAAATTGCTTTAGTCGCCAAGGCTTCCATTTACCAATTAGAGTCAAAGTTTTAAAAACCTCTAGGAATAGTTAAAAATTTTTTTTTAAAGATTTTATCTTTTTCCTTTTTCTCCCCAAAGCCCCCCAGTACATAGTTGTATACTCTTCGTTGTGGGTCCTTCTAGTTGTGGCATGTGGGACGCTGCCTCAGCGTGGTTTGATGAGCAGTGCCATGTCCGCGCCCAGGATTCGAACCAACAAAACACTGGGTCGCCTGCAGCGGAGCGCGCGAACTTAACCACTCGGCCACGGGGCCAGGCCCAGAATAGTTAAAATTTTTAAACATAAACTTTGTATTGAAGTATAACACAGACATAAAAGTGCATAAATCATAGCTGTAAACAAGCCACTCATGTAATGAATGCCAGGACCAAGAAACAGATATCACCATTTCCCCAGAAATACCCCCAACTGCCTTGTGCCCCCTTCCAGTCACCTCCCCTACAGCTACCAGGGAAAGCAATATCCTGACTTGTAACAGATAGATTATTTTTGCTTTTGTCCTTTACGGAAATGGGATAATGTCATATGTATTCTTTTGCATAAACAATGCTTCTTTTGCTCAGGATTATATTTATGAGATTCATCTATGCTGTTGCACAGAGTTGTAGCTTGTTCATTTTTGTTGCTGTACAGCATCCCACTGAGTGAATAAACCACAATTTGCTTAACTATTCTAATGCTGATAGACATTTAGGTTGCTTCCAGTTTGGGGCATATAGTGCCATTATTTTTAATTAGTGCTCTGTAGTTGAGGTCTTTCAACTGGCATATTACTGTCTCCCTGTACACTTTTCTGTTGAAAATACACTGCAGAGTGGAATATACGAGACATAGGATATATACGTTCAGCATTAGTAGGTACTATCGAACACCTTTCTCAAGGTGGTTGTACCAATTAATGTTCCCACCAGCAGCATATAAGATTTATAGTCACGCCACATCTTCATCAGAACTAGATCTGTCTTTTCCATTTAGCCATTCTGGTGGGTGTGTAACAGTGCGCACTGTGTTCTTAATTTCCATCTCTGATAACCAGGAAAGATGAAGACTTTGTTTTATGTGCATTGGCTACTTGAATATCTTTTTTTGTGAAGTCTCTGTTCAAGTCTTTGGCCAATTTTTCTATTGGGTTTCTGCCTTTTACTTAATGATTTTTAAAGTTTTTTATATTCGTATATTTTTAAAGTTTTATATTTCTGATATGTTGAATATACATCCTGCAATATTTTCTCCTACTCTGTGACTTCACCTTTCACTTTTTAATTGTCTTTTAAATAAACAGAAATCCTTAATTTTTTTGCTTTATGTCGTTGCGTGTCTTATCTAAGGAAATTTTTCCTGCCCTAAGGAAAATATCATGAAATATGAAATATCAGGAAACTGTTTTCTTTGAAATTGACTTTTGTGATGGTGTGAGGCAGGAATCAAGATTTTTTTTTTTTACCATATTATTCAGTTGACCCGGAACTGTTTATTGAAAAGTCCATGCTTAAACCTATGCCATTAATCATGGGATTATATATGTGCGAATCTGTTTCTGGGCGATATTCAAGAAGCTGTTAATTGTTAAACTTATTCTCAAGAAAGAATGCCTTTAATCTGATTCTTTCCTCAAGTAGCATTTATTACATACTTATTACAAACTAGGCATCATGCTAAGCACTTGAGCTCCATCATTTCATTTTAAACTAGGTACTTTTATCTCTATTTTAGAGATGAGGAAATTAAGACTCAGAGAATTAAATAATTTGCCCAAGATCTCTTATCTAGTAAGTGGCAGAAACCTAACTTGAACACAGGTCTGGCTGACTTTGAAGTGTGGCTCTTTACTATCCTGTCTTCCAGACCAGCTTTTTTTGGGGGGGAAGTGGGCAATAAGAGTGTGTGTCAGGGAAAGGTGATGGAGAGGGGACCAACTTCTCACACCCCCACTACATAACTATTATAGGATTTTGTTGCTTTATTTGAGTACACAGCATTGGTGCACATTTAAATTTTCATGTTCATTGAACTAACACATTTTACAGATGGGGAACCACAGGCTCATGCCATTTACTAGGCACTTGGCACATGATAGAATATATTGCTGTTATTCTATATATTCTTTCTTTCTTACTAGTCAACCTTCAAGAGTAAGGAGTGGCTTTTATGTATTCATAACCCTGATGACTTCGACAGTGCTCTCCCCAGAGCAGGTGCTTAATATTTGTGTTTTTTATAGTTGAGGTATCATTAATAACTTGAGATTTCCTGACCAGGCAGGTTTTCTATCCTGTATTAACTGTTTTTAGTTCAGATCATGTGATCTATCCCTAACATATATTTTCTCTTTCAGTAATTGCTGCCTCAAAGGGAAAAATTCAAATCTTTGGCTGAATGGTCTGGTAGCAACAGATCGGAAATTCTTAAGATGTTAGAAACAGGAGCTACCTCCCACACAATCACTGAGTGAAAAAGAAAAGTGGGGGGGAGAGAGAGAGAGAGAGAGAAAGGGAGACTGAAATTGACAGAGAGAGAGAGAGACAGAGAGAAAACTGGGTCTTGTAAAGAGACTAGTACTCTCAGTTCCAGACCTTCACCAGGTCTGTGGCTTTAAGTTCTGTGCTTCTATTTCTCCGGTGCAACACGGGGCTAATACCATGGCAGCACAGGCTGGTTCTAAGTGTAAAATGAAGCAACAGACAAAAATATACTAAGAATGGTATATTTTGACATTTAAGAAAAATGCTATTAAATGTCAAATATTGGTAGAAAGCAAATTGAATACAAGGTACAGGAGTGTTTGGTTTTATTAATAATAAAAGAACTAAATATATATTTTAGATATTTACTAAAAAAGGACCTGGTTGACAAAATAATTCAATATAAGTGTTGAGGCTTCCTATTGCTTTAAATTTTTTTGAATAAACTTTTTTACTGAAGTATAATCAGATGGCATTTTGAAATAATTCAACTTACAAATTTTTAAGATAACATTCACTGTATTGGGTAAAGCAGGGTGTATCTATAATTTACTATCAGGCATAGACGGGGGCCTTGAATCTATAAGGATATTGTTATCTACTATTTAGTGCAAAAGATGTAAAATGATGAGTGTGTATTACGTGCCAAGGTTTTCTCTAGAATAGGCCTGCTGTAAAAGTCAGCGGCGTGCCAGTTCAGTTCAACGAGTACTTAATTAGCGCTTGTGATTTCCAAGGAACCGTGTGGGTACTGAGAAGGAAGCAAAGATGAATAGCATCAGCCGGAGGGAGACAAGACAGGAACCTAGGAAGAGGCTGCAAAGCAGAACGAGGCATCATAATGTTGAAAAGGTAAAACACAGGGAGAACCTGGTGGGGTTTAAAATAATTGAACTTTTCCTGCCTGCGTTTTTTTCTTTAAAGGAACTATTTTGGATCTCTTTCCACACACGCCAGGTCGCTTGTCTGCAAAGAATCCGCGACCCTGTGAAATCTCCCCTATGCCCTATATATTCGATGTGCTCCTCTGCCACCAGCACTGCACTTGGATTGGTATCTATTGAGTGGGTGGTGAAACGATGGAAAGTTATTTTTGTTCTAATTATGAGAAGTGTTTTATTAGAGGAGAGGAGGGGGCGGAGAGGCAGATAGAGACTGAAGCACTCGGGGAGGATGCTCCGAGAAGGCGTTACTAAGGTTACTAGAAAGAGGACGGGCGGTGATACTCAAGCATGGTTTTTTTCTAAAACAAAACGTATTTTCAAACTAGGGGCGTGGGCTTATAGAGGGCAGTGCCACACGATATTAAATGCTAGACTCCCGAAAGGGGAAGGGAAAGAGGGCCCAGAAAAAACTGAGGAAGGAGAGTTTGAGAAAGCAAAAAGCCTCAGCCGCGCCCCCCCCTCCCCTTCCGGCCCTTTTCTCCCGCTGCCTTTGTTTCCCGGGGCTCTTCTGTCTGTAGCACAAGGTCGGCGCGCCCGGGGACGGTGTCATTTAATCGTGACGCGCAGCCGAGCCGGACCGGAAGTGGCGCCCAGCCGGGATCCGTAGGTTGAGGCGGGGAGCGGGCGGCGGCGGCGGCGGGGAGCCTGCGCAGCCGGCGTGGCGGTGGTGGCCCTGCAGCGGCTCGCGCAGGCGGTGGTCGTCGCTGCAGCCGCTGCGGAAGGAGGAAACGGCGAACTCAGCGCGGAACTTGGCGGAGCGGGCAGGAGGGAAGGGGTGTGTGAGAAGCGCTATGAGTATATTTGGGGTCGGGGAGAAGGACCTCGAAACTTCTTCCTTATCTGCTACTAGTTGACTTTTTTTTTTTCGATGGCAGATTCTGGAGTCACCCGGCGTCTCACTTCTCGAACTTCTCTCGGCCCTTCTCAGTTGATTCGTAGCGCGAAGTGAGTGAGAGCTTTTTAGTGCGACCACCGAGTTGAGATGTGTATGGGATGGATGAAGCCACTACAGAAGAAAGAAATGGGAGAGGTGGAGTAGGGGTAGAGGTGGTGTCGCGGGGAGTGGGAACAGTATGATGGTGATGATGATAGTTAACATTTACAGGCTTTTACTGTCCCAGACACTGTTCTCAAACTCTTTATGTGAGATGACTCATTTAATGCCCAGTCCTATGAGACCGGTAGGTACTCTTATTAGCCTCATTTTGTAGATGGGAAACTGAGGCTCTGAGAGGTTAAGGAACGTGCCCAAAGAAAGACAAAGGAAAAGTGCAGAGCCAGGATTTGCATTCTGGCAGGCTGATCCCAGAACACATCTCTAAGCTCAGCACCATGGTTGTCCCCCATCAGGATGTGAAGAAAGTGAGGACATAAGAGAAGGAAAGAGAGGCTGGTATGGTTTGAACAGATGTGCTAAGACAGCTGGAGCAAGGAGTTGACATGGTAAAGGGTGTGAGATCCAAGTGTGTCTGTAAGGTGATGACAGATCAAGTGAGGGTAGAGTTGAACTGTGGCTTTCCAGCCTTCACCTCTACCTTGGCTAGGGCCTTCCTCCCTGGAATTCTGTGGAGCAAGGAAGGGAGCTATACACCCACACACCTAAGTTTGAAGATAGAACTATAGTACCATCACAGACTCATAGGATTTAAGGATTATTTGGTATAGCCCCCTTATATAGCAGATGAAGCCCTAGGAGATGAAGTAATATATTCCAGGTAGCCAGGACTAGAAACATCTTTGTCTTAGGTCCATTACGATGGAGTTTAGGCCGTTCTTTCTTCTTTTTCCTGCTATACCTGCTATAGTGAATATTAAACTTGAAAAATTTTGATGTATCATTTGACCCGGACTGGTTCCTTTTAGCTGTATGGATTGGATATTTATGACATCAAATGGTCAAATCATCCATCTATCTCCCATTAATATGTGTGCCAAATTCAATGTAATGCTGAAACTAGGAGCTTCTTCCAACACAACTGAGTGACAATTGCAGTCTTTGAGTATTTCTAAGAATTTCAATTAAAAAATGAATTGAAACAAGATAAAGTTGACTAGGCCAGAGGGCAAGGTGGTTTACCTTGAAGAAACTAGGTTTAAAAGGGAAAAAGGAAATCTCCACATTAGTTGAAAAGAGGTAGGAAAATTTTCATCAATTGATCGTGCACTGTTCACAGATACAGTTAAGTCTAATAGAGTATGATGATCAAAATGTTAGCATATTCCAGAGAGGCAGTTTGGGGTAATTGAAATCATGCACTTAAGAATCAAGTAGATCAGCTTAGCCACTGATTTGCTCTGGAAAATTGATTTACTTAACCTCATTTGTCCTTGATTTCTTCATCTCTAAAATGGAGATAATAGTTCCTAACTTGCAGAAGTGTTTCTAAAGTACGTGGCGTAATGTCTGGAACAGAGTTGGTGATAAATACACAGCAACTGGTAATACTCTGAATCAAATAAAAGTGAATCATTACTAAAGCTTGTATGCAGTCTCATGCTAGCTTCTAGACCTGGTTTTCAATGGAAAGGTCAAAGAAGAGATTTCCTTGTTGGCCTAATGGTAATTGAGGAGGAAAATGTTGCTTCATTTTCTGAAGGGTAAGTCTGTTATTTCAAAGTGAATGAAAGTTTTAGATGGCTAGATAGCCCGTGAATAGTGATAGGCTCACCATGACCCTTTAAAACCATTATGGCTTTTAAAGATAACTTACTTTTGAGCTATTCTGTTTCCTGAGCTATGGACAGCTTAGTTTCTAAGTAACTGACTTTACGCTCATTTACAGATGCATGGCCATGGAGGCTATGACTCTGATTTTAGTGATGATGAACACTGTGGAGAATCCAGCAAAAGGAAAAAACGGTAAGAAATTTTTTATTGATCTGTGTTTCCGATCCTTTCTATATTGAGATGAGGTGTAAATAAATAATATTGAAAGTTTTTGGATTGTATTTGCATGTGAAGACAAGCATGCGCTACTGGATGAGTTTTTGTTCATTAAACTCGAGTGAATTTGACTCAGACGTTTGAGAACAGTTGTGTGCAAAATGAGAAAATAATATTATGCTGTGAAGAGGTTTATGGAAAGGGAAGCAGGAGAAAAATCATTTAAAGCTGTTATATTTGTCTTTTGCATCTATTTTTCATTTAACTGTCAAGGACTTTTTACTTGTGAATCTCATAGCTAAGAAGGGGCTTCGTTGGTGGTCCCTTTGCTAGTGCTTGACTTCAACATGAGCTTCGTGTGGAGGATGAGATTGTGATGCAGCACAGTTCTTACGGTTTTGTGAATGAGCAGAGTAAGTGGTCACGGGAAGGAGCTCAAGGCAGTTTTTATTGAGTGGGAAGGGACAAGAACTGTCAGCAGATAAAGCCTGGGCCTTGCAAGGAGGCTACGTCTTGGTGGAGTTGCTGTGTTTAGGGGCAGTGTTTTCAGCTTTCAGTGCTTAAGAAACTTGATTTTATCCATTAACTTAAGAGTGGTTGACTGATTCATATTAACCAAATTTATAAAACTTGGTTTGTTACTTTACACTGAGAGCAGTATATGAGGTGTATAATTGGGACTGAACATTTTTGTCAGAGACTCAGTCTTCATGAATAGAAATAATTATAATAAATTACATTTTATGATGCTTTACATTTTCAAGATTTTTCATTCAGAAATATTACTTTGTAAGAATAGAATTTGAGCAAATCTAGTTGGATACTCTTCTCTGCACTAGGGTTATATCTGTCTACTAACTGAGGCTGATCATCTGTAGTCTATATCATCTATAATCAGCCCTTCTTTTCTCATATTATCAGTTACCAAAAGCTTCATTATCTTTACTTTACAAACAGGAAAATTGTAGCACACAGAAATTAAGAACGTTGATCTTTGTTTAAGATTAAGATAGTGAATGACAGAGCCAGAATTTGAACCCAGGAACCTAGGTGATCTGACACCAGAACCTGTGCATTTGTTAGTTTCATCTTCTGCATTTTATAGGTGTTAAATGAAGTTAGGATATTAATTAAGCTATTTAAGGAGATGTAAACTGTATCATTAAAGATGAGTGAATCTTTTTTAAATTAAGTCTTGAATTCTTTAAAACATGTTTCAGTTATGAAAATAGAAGCCAGAAACCCCTTTTGGGAAAAATAAAGTCTTGCAATAATTTTTCTTCTTCACAAACCAGGACAGTTGAAGATGATTTACTGCTCAAAAAGCCATTTCAGAAAGAAAAACATGGAAAGGTGGCCCATAAACAAGTTGCAGCAGAATTGCTGGATAGGTATGGTATTTCAATGTACTTTCCCTTTGTTTGGTTGAAGACGTTTTTGTAAACTCAAAAACTTGGGAATTTGATTATATTAATTAGAATATAGACATTTGAATTTGCTTAAAACAAAATTTGTCTTAACAGGGAAGAAGCAAGAAATAGAAGGTTTCATCTCATAGCTATGGATGCTGTATCCTTTTTATATTTCTAGATTTTTATAACTAATAGAATACTTTAAAATCTGCTTTTATTTCATAAAATCTTAAGTCAGATAGATCTGTATTTTATTTTTAAAGGTAAGTGTTTCTTGATGTGGAATTTTGCTGTTTATACTTTTGAGTACAATTTTATTTTACGAATATATAAGAAAGATTTAGAGACAAGAAATATCAAAACGTATTACTAATGTTTTATAAATGTTCTACAAAGTCCATGAACTTGCAAATGTGTTTTTAGGCTGTTTTTGCCAAGCTCGGACCATTTCTCATTTTTATACTACTCTTATCTTCAGTCTCATTTTAACTCTTACTCTCCTCCTACCTGGTTCTTGGCTATTTAAGGTCTTTGTCAAACTTGTATTTAAAAGTAGATCTGTGTGTGGACTGTCCTCAGGCCTGCTGTGGCGTCACCTCTCAGCTGTGACTTGGGGCTATCTTTACGCTATACCTTGCTTCCCTGTTGTAGTCTTGTCTCAGCTCAACTTTTTGATAAGACTGTGGCTCGTTACACTAACTGCTCCCACTGGCCATCCATGTTACTGCTGAGAATATTGGAGAATGAAAGAGAGGCCAAGCAAGACCGGAAGTATTTCTGGGTATTTATTACTATGGTCAGGGTTGGGAGAAGGAAACAATGTCAGTTAGATATACCCACTATGTGTAGTCATCTGTTTGGCTTTGTTATCATTCCTAATTCTTTTCTTTGACTTACAGAAGTTCTCTCTCATCACCAATTTATTTATTTCTCTTATCTCCTAACCCAATAGCTTAACTGTCCTGTGGATCTCATCTTCCACTTGTTCCTTTATCATTTCAGCATCTCCTCTGCCTTCTATGACGCTACTCAGCTGGGGGCATTGGGGCATCTAGTGACAGCCTGGTGAGGGTGAAGGTGTGGGTCCCCTTTTCTGGCATGGGTGGAGCTGGGGCCACAGCTGTTCCTGGAGTGCCTGGCTGGAGTAGAGTAGTTATCATCTAAAAGTTACCTGTCTTGTTAGACTTCTTCTCTCTTGGTTATTCAGTTAGAGCTGGCTTTCGTTGGGACTTTTTTGTCTGTGCTTGTTGACATTTCAGGTTGCCAGCCTCTTCACTTCTAAGTCTGGGATTTACGAGGCAAAAAGAAAACCTGGGGAACTCACCACCGTGTTAGACCATGGGTCTTGAGGTCCCTAGCTGGTATGTCTTCTCCTCTCCACCTGTCAGTCTTCTATGCTTGTTTTATATGTAATTTCCAAGGTTTTTACTTGTTCTTAGTGGAAAGAATAGGGAGAAGTACATCTTTGTCTGCTCCATCTTCCCAGAAGCAGAGTCCCATCCACCACCTGTTTTTGTAAATAAGGTTTGTTGGAACACAGGTATGCTCACTCGTTTAGGTGTCAGCTGTGCCTACTTGCATGCTAAAATGGCAGAGCTGAGCAGTTGTGACAGAGATTATATGGCCTGCATGTTTACCATTTACAGGAAAAGTTTGCCGACCCCAACTCTGAAAGACTTAAGTGACTTGCCATAGTCACGTGACCAGTTGGCAGTAGACCAAGAGCTAGAACCCAGATCTCTGAATATCTGGCTTTTCTTTTTTTCTTTTCTGAAATGCTAACTGCTTTGTTGACAGTTTTGGAACCATCATATTCTGATTCAGTATTCTGTTAGGACACATTCGGATCAATTAAATCACTATTTAGTTTTAATACGATAGGGTGTAGTCACAGACAGTGTATTATAGATGGGGTCAGTTCTGTTATGTGCAAGTTCAGCTCTGGAGAGAGTACCATTGAACTTTTTAAAACAAAAAGTAAAATGCTCATATATCTTGTTATACTGCATTGAAAATAAACACGACTGTGGATTTTTTTTAATATTAAAAGAAAGTATAAAAAGTGACATGTGATTTCTACTTACTTCTTTTTGAAAGCTTAGAGTTAGGATTTAATATCCTAAAAGTTGTGTCTTCTATTTTAGAGGCTTTATCATTACCGGATTAACTAAATTATATTTTATAATAATGAAAGGTAAATTCTACTCCTTACCTTTAATATTAGGACCTATGATTTATTTTTCATATTATGATTAAGATGAGTGGTGGTATGAGGCTGTATGTAGTTCAGCAATAGAATAGGAAGCTTGCTTTCTCCCCAGATCGAGATATAGTTTATTACAAGAGTAGTGTATGTTTGAAAAATGTTTGAAACAATATAGACAGTATTCAGTAGAAAGTCAAAGCCCTTCTACTCTAAAGTGTTCACTCTTAACAGTTTAATATTTACCCTTTTAGATCTTTTTTGAATTTATAAGCATCTATAGTATATATTTGCATACTAAAAACCCAAATAGACTCATACTGTGCTTTTTTTCCCTACTCACTAATATATCATGGACACAGAAGAACTTGTGAGCAAATAAAATCCTTAATTTTTACATTTCAGTATCAAAGGCATACAAAGTTTGTAAATGACTATATTTTATACTATGGTGGCAAAAGAGAAGACTTCAGGCGATCAGGGTAAGTGTCATGAAGTTTACATAGAATGGGAGGAATGTATTTAAAGAGCTACAGCTACTGTGTCTTCTGATCCTGTCATTCTCCCCTGCTTTTCCATTCCAGTTTCCATGTTATGTCCTAAAGTGGAGAGGCCATCCGTAGCTTCTAGCTACTAGCCGAGTAGCTCATAGTCAACCCCATTTCTCTGGCACCAGGCCTCAGGTAGCCTGCTGAGCCAGATCTGCTGCTGGCAATAACAGGATATGTGAGGAATGCTCATACCCCTGAGTATGTAGTAAAGTGTTTTTTTTTGGCAAGGATCTTTGAAATAGTGAAGTTTTTTTTTTTGATGAGGAAGATTCACTCTGAGCTAACATCTGTTGCCTTGCCAATCTTCCTCCTCTTTTTTTTTTTTTTTTGCTTGAGGAAGATTACCCCTGAGCTAACATCTGTGCCAGTCTTCCTCCACTTTGTATGTGAGTCACCACCACAGCATGGCTTGACAGTGGTGTGGATCCATGCCCAGGATCCAAACTTGTGAACCTGGGCCGCCGAAGCTGAGTGTGCCAGACTTAACCACTACACCATGGGGCCAGCCCCCAAATAGTGAACTTTTAAGATCTCAGTGTTTGGGATTGCTTTTCAAAAGGTGGGGCAAACAAGAAAACTCACTGTTAATATTTCCCACACATGAAATTCTTTCCTGTGTTTGAGGCTCTTCTATCAGAGCCTCTTGGTTTTGTGTTTTTTTTCCTCCTCTGACATAACAATTTTCTGAGGTCGTATAGCCCTAAGAAACTTTATACCTTCTCGTCTACCCCAAACTTATCTCCTCTCTCAGTTTAGCCTGTTTTCCCCAACTTTCCCTTGTTCTAGCCCTAAACTGTCAGCATCTTGACAAATCATCCCCTTCAACTCTCTTCCTGCCTTACTCAATCTTCCTAACAAGCGGTAGTAAAATGAGCTATGGAAAACTCTTCATGTATTTTTTAAATTAGATGTCAGTAGGATGATGTTACTGACTTTTTTTAAATTCTGAAACTTATTTTCATTCATTTTTCCATTAGTCCATTTGTCCATTAGTGCTTATTCAGATTTCTCATCCTAGCTCTGGTAATTTAGCACCATTTTTATAATTGAAACCACTGCTAGAGATGGACGGATTCCTTATCCATTTAAGTTGCTTCTGTGACAGCATTCTTTATAAGTGCCTTTTGTAAATACTGAAATAGTTTTTATAAACATGCATACGCACACATAAAAACTATCTTCATGTATTGTATTTTTACTCAGGTACTCTAAAATCTCATAGAACTGTTTAACCTCCTAAATTCGACTAATTTTATGTTCATATTAAATTGAAATAGTTTTCTTTTCCAGGGAAAATGATAAGACAGACATGGATGTTATACGAGAAAATCATAGATTCCTGTGGAACGAGGAGGATGAAATGGACATGAATTGGTAATTTTAGCCATTTGGGGCATAAGGCATCAGATGCTTTAGCCCTGTCCTTCCTGTTCTCAGAACGCTTTCTTACTCTGTAGCCTATCCAAGGCATTTAGCCCCTGCAGAGAACAGTTCTGAATCAGGGACATAAAACCACGCCTCAGATAGTGAATCTGGTTTGGTTCTTTTGGTAATTTTTAGCAGTTTTAACTGACTTCTCATTGCTTCACTTTGTCTTTAAGAAATAATTTATAATCTTTTTACAGTATTGTTTGTTGTCCTGTAATATGCTTCTTTTTAAATTTTTAAAATACTTCCGGAAAAAGTAATACCTGAAAATGGTTTTAAAAAATCCAAACATTACAAAGGGTAGAAAGTGAAGAGTAAGTCTCCTTCTCATCTCTGACTGTCAGTCTTCCAGTTTCCCTCCCTGAGAGAACCTCTATTAATAGTTAATATTCAGATATTCTATGCACATGTAAGTAATAGGCCTCTTTTAAAACATTAATATTTATAGCATATGTGTTATTTATTTGACATTGCTTCCAAGTAGCAAATTATAGGTGAATTTCTAAATGTATAAGATTTATGTGTTTTTTATGGATCTAGGGAGAAGAGACTTGCAAAGAAATACTATGATAAATTATTCAAGGAATACTGCATAGCAGATCTAAGTAGATACAAAGAAAATAAGGTATGCCTTCCAAATATTTATAGAAGGTTCTGATTCAAGTACAGTATTACTTTTTATTATACAATCATACCCCACATTATTCTTTTAAAGATGCTAATTCAAATCTAAGTTGTCCTGCATCTATGAATTATCATTTGGACCATTTAATCTCTGCAGCTGTGGCATTTACAAAAGGGTCCTTAGTCAGGGATGCTTCCTTGTGAGCTGAGGCATGAAAAGTCCAAATTAAACACAAGTGGCTCCTGGATCCTGTTTCATTCTAACTGTTGTCTAGAGCCTCTAGTGATTATGATGAATGATTTGACACTGCAGAATGATGTCTTGTTTCACAGATGATGTTTGAAATTGATAGGCTTTTTTTTCCAACTTGAGTACCATTTATAAAGAGGGAGATGCACATCTGTTATAGAAGTGTCTATTCTGGTAAAATTAACTCTTATCAGTGCTAATTATAATGGCAGATTTCCATTCCCACTTTACATCTTACTTTCGTTAATATTAAAATGATTTTTATTCCTATCTCCAATTTCACATTTGTAGCTAGAAAAGGTGACCCAGGAACAGATGATCTCAGTTTGAAATGGGAGGGGAGGAAATGTTGCATAAATCTGTATGTTTTGGGTAGTGTGCGTTGTATTAAGAAAGACAACCTATTTAAAAAGCTGTCTTAGATTTAATTATCATAAGGATTTCTTTTTCATTTAAAAAGTTAAATCTCAGGGCTGGCCCGGTGGCGCAGCAGTTAAGTTCACACATTCCGCTTCTGGGCGGCCCGGGGTTCGCTGGTTCTCGGTGCCGACATGGCACTGCTTGGCAAAAGCCATGCTGTGGTAGGCGTCCCACGTATAAAGTAGAAGAAGATGGGCATGGATGTTAGCTCAGGGCCAGTCTTCCTCAGCAAAAAGAGGAAGATTGGCAGTAGTTAGCTCAGGGCTAATCTTCCTCAAAAAAAAAAAAAAACGTTAAATCTCAGAACCATGATTGGCTTAATAATTTTTTCAGGAGTGTTTTTAATATGTGGTTTTCTTCACAATATTCTTGTAGATAATAGTAGTGTCCATTTTTATAACCCTGTTTACAAACCCATGCATGTAGTGTATCGCAAAGACGACTTCTGTTTCTTGTGAACTAGCTCTCATGTCCAGTACTAGTTATTGACTACGTCGAATCCAAAAAGCACCATCACAGTTGGAGTTACTTGACAGTTATCACACTACAAGTTGCGTGTGAAACATGTCTTTCTAGGAGCACTTAACAAAGCGGCCTTTTCACCTCTGTCTCATTTGTTGATTGTTCTCCAGTATTTGCTGAGGACTGGGCTGGGTACTGTGGAATAAAACATGGTGTCTGTCTTTCAAGAAAAACCTATAGTCTAGTTGAGGGGAGAAAATGTGTATAAATAAATAATTAAATATTCGTATTCTCCATTTTAAAAAAAAACAGTGTGTGACTGGAAATCATGCTTTGAAACAAATTATATTTTCCTATTAGGACATGACAAGTAGTTAGATACTGGAGTAAGCGTGAGTAAGAAATCAGATATGACTCACAGGTTTTGAATGTGGATACTAGAGAAATAGGAACTATCGTGGGAGCGGGATTTATTTTTAATTAAGATTTTATTTTTTTAGAGCAGTTTTAAGTTCATAGCAAAATTGAGGGGAAAGTACAGAGATTTCCTGTTACGCCCTGACCCGCACACACGAGGGGGATCTTTTTTTGTGGGGAAAGATACTAACTGTTTTGACATACCTTGTTTGAGGTGTTGGAGAAAGTTAGAGTAGTGCCTTTGTTTTCCTTACTAGGATGCATTTTCTCATGGTTTTATTTACACAAAGACAGTGGGAAAAAAGCCATACATGAATGAATGGATGTGATTGTGTTCCAGTAAAACTTTATATATAAAAATAGGCAGCAGGCCAATGGGCCACAGTTTGCTACTGCCTGGTGTACTATGTACCAGGTAATATTCTAAGTACTTTATATGTATTATCCCATTTAAACCTCTTAAGCCAAAGAAGTAGGTACTCATTATCTCTACTTTACATATTAGGAAACTGAGGCATAAATTAGTTAAATAGCTTGTCCAGTATTATACAACTGCTGAATGGTGGAGCTAAGACATAACCCCAAACAGTCTGACTCAAAAGGCTGCTCTCTCTTGCACTATAGTACACCGCCTCTTCACTGTACCATAACCTCTTTTTTTTTTCTGTTAGTGTCATAGAACGGGATTTTTTTTTTGCGTATGAAGTCTTAACTCAATGTAGTTTTTTTTTTTAAATTGAGGTTATGATAGTTTACAACCTTATGAAATTTCAGTTGTACATTGTTATTTGTCAGTCATATTATAGGTGTACCACTTCACCCTTTGTGCCCACCCGCATCCCCTTTCCCCTGGTAACCACTAATCTGTTCTCTTTGTCCACGTGTTTGTTTATCTTCCACATACTAGTGGAGTCATACAGAGTTTGTCTTTCTCCATCTGACTTATTTCACTTAACATAATACCCTTGAGGTCCATCCATGTTGTTGTAAATGGGACGATTTTATCCTTTTTACGGCTGAGTAGCATTCCATTGTATATATATATACCATATCTTGTTTATCCAGTCATCAGTCAGTGGGCACTTAGGTTGCTCCTACATGTTGGCTATTGTGAATAATGCTGCAGTGAATATAGAGGTGCATGGGACTTTTGGAATTGCTGATTTCAAGTTCTTTGGATAGATACCCAGTAGTGGGATGGCTAGGTCATATGGTATTTCTATTTTTAATTTTTTGAGAAATCTCCATTCTGTTTTCCATAGTGGCTGCACCAGTTTGCATTCCCACCAGCAGCGTATGAGGGTTCCTTTTTCTCCATAACCTCTCTAATATTGGTTACTTTTTGCCTTGGTTATTTTAGCCATTCTAATGGGTGTAAGGTGACATCTTAGAGTAGTTTTTCTTTGCTCTTCCCTGATGATCAGTGATGATGAGCATCTTTTCATGTGCCTGTTGGCCATCTGTATATCTTTTCAGAAGTGTCTGTTCATGTCCCCTGCCCATTTTTTGATCAGGTTTAATTTTTTGTTGTTGAGTTGTGTGAGTTCTTTATATATTATGGAGATTAGCCTTTTATCAGATATATGATTTGCAAATGTTTTTTCCCAGTTGATGGGTTGTGTTTTTGTTTCAATCCTATTTTCCCTTGCCTTGTAGAAGCTCTTTAGTCTGATGAAGTCCCATTTGTTTATTCTTTCTATTGTTTCCCTTGTCTGAGAAGACATGGTGTCCAAAAAGATCCTTTTTAAGATTGATGTTAAAGAGTGTACTGCCTTTATTTTCTTCGAGAAGTCTTATGGTTTCAGGTCTTATCTTTAAGTCTTTGATCCAGTTTGTTTTTGTGAATGGTGAAAAAGAATGGTTTATTTTCATTCTTTTACATGTGGCTGTCCAGTTTTCCCAACACCATTTGTTGAGGAGACTTTCTTTCCTCCATTGTAGGCCCTCAGCTCCTTTGTTGAAGATTAGCTGTCCATAGATGTGTGGTTTTATTTCTGGGCTTTCAGTTCTGTTCCATTGATCTGTGTGCGTTTTTGTACCAGTACCATGTTTTGATTACAATAGCTTTGTAGTATATCTTGAAGTCAAGGATTGTGATGCCTCCAGCTTTGTTCTTTTTTCTCAGGATTGCTTTAGCAATTCAGGGTCTTTTGTTACCCCATATGAATTTTAGGATTCTTTGTTCTATTTCCGTAAAGAATGTCATTGGGATTCTGATTGGGATTGCATTGAATCTGTAGATTGCGTTAGGTAGTATGGACATTTTAGCTGTGTTTATTCTTCCAATCCATGTGCATGGAATATCTTTCCATCTCTTTATGTCGTCATCAGTTTCTTTCAGGAAAGTCTTGTAGTTTTCACTGTATAGGACTTTCACTTCCTTGGTTAAATTTATTCCAAGATATGTTATTCTTTTTGTTGCGACTGTGAATGGGATTGTGTTCTTGAGTTCTCTTTCTGTTAGTTCATTATTAGAGTATAGAAATGCTACTGATTTATATAAGTTGATTTTGTACCCTGCAACTCTGCTGTAATTATTGATTACATCTAGTAGCTTTCGTATGGATGTTTTAGAGTTTTCTATGTAAGATCATGTCATCTGCAAACAGCGAGAGTTTCACTTCTTCATTGCCTCTTTGGATTCCTTTTATTTCTTTTTCCTGCCTGATTGCTCTGGCCAAAACCTCTAGTACTATGTTGAATAAGAGTGCTGAGAGTGGGCACCCTTGTCTTGTGCCTGTTCTTAGAGGGATGGCTTTCAGTTTTTCCCCATTGAGTATGATGTTGGCTGTCGGTTTGTCATATATGCCTTTATTATGTTGAGGTACTTTCCTTCTATACCCATTTTATTGAGAGCTTTTATCATAAATGGATGTTGGATCTTGTCAAATGCTTTCTCTGTGTCTATTGAGTGATCATGTGGTTTTTGTTTCTCATTTTGTTAATGTAGTGTATCACATTGATTGGCTTGCAGATGTTGAACCATCCCTGTGTCTGTGGCATAAATCCCACTTGATCATGGTGTATGATCTTTTTAATGTATTGCTATATTCAGTTTGCCAATATTTTGTTGTGGATTTTTGCATCTATATTCATCAGTGATATTGGCCTGTAGTTTTCCTTCTTTGTGTTGTCCTTGTCTGGTTTTAGGATCAGAGTGATGTTGGCCTCATAGAATGTGTTAGGAAGTGCTCCATCTTCCTCAATTTTCTGGAATAGCTTGAGAACGATAGGTATTAAATCTTCTTTGAATGTTTGGTAATTCTCCAGAGAAGCCGTCTGGTCCTGGAATTTTATTTTCGGGGAGGTTTTTGATTAACCAGGATATATGTTTATATTAATTTAGGTATCTTGCAGCCTGGCACCTGTAACTTTTAATAGGTGATTTAAAAGTAGAGAAGATAGTTCTTTAATAGATAAGTGGGTAGTTGTTCAAATGTATTTTTAAGTACCTGGAATCCTATAAGGAGAGTAAAAGCTATCATGATGGAAATTGGTTTTACTTTTTAGGTTGGTAAATGTCGTCATGTCAATTGTTGACTCCAAGTTTAGATTTATATACAACTTAAGTAATGTTTAAACTTACTCTGGCGTAAATGTAATTTTTTTTCTCATCAGTTTGGATTTAGATGGAGAGTAGAAAAAGAAGTAATTTCAGGAAAAGGTAATTCTTTTTTTTAATTTTACTTTTTAATAGGATACGGTTATTTTGTTATTGAATTGAAGTCACTAGGTAAGATTATTCCTAATGTATGATAAATGATTATCTACAGAAGTAAAATTAGGGAAAGTAGATTCATGATGTATTACTAGCAAAGGTCAAAATATAATGCATTAGTGATTTTTTACCTTTAGAATTTTTGCTTTTAGAACATTCAGTTGAGGATAAGTAGAAAATGTTTTAAGAGTTAAAGATTTCGTAGCAAGGAGACTATCAACAGGTAAACACTTGTTTTTGTCTCTTATCAATTTTTGGAATAATGAGTTGGTATTACTGTGTTCCAGTCAACTCCACATTTTGAAAGCAGGAATTAGACATCACTTTGAACCTAATAGAATTTTTGGGCAGGCTAGTTCTTATTTTTGGGAGTCACTAAAATTGAGCCCAGATATTTAGTCTTATAGCAAAAGACCATATATTTGGTAGACAGTCACTAAATGCTTTTTCTATGCATTGTTGTAATCTATTCATAAAATTTTTCTGAAAATTTAATGTCTGTTAGTATAGAGATACTATGCTCATGCTATAAAACTAGCTCTTTATTGTTAATTGTATTTTTAAGTGTTAATGTTTCTGAAAACTTTGTAATAGGAGCATTTAGGAAATAATTTTAAACTACTAACTTAAAAAATCTTTTAAATAAAAGTTACATTTTAAAATAATTAAACATTTATGCCACTGATGTGGCTTATACACATCTTCCATAAATTAGATGTCCGTGTCGGGTGAAATTTGATATATAATAAAGCAAAATTAAATAGTAGGAATTTTTTTCTTTAGTTAATAAAGGACCAGCCCTGAAGGTGCTCTAGAGGAGAAGGAAAAAGAATAAATTTAAAGCTATTTTTAAGTTTTCTTAGGATTGCATTTTAGTTTGTGTTTTACCTAAAACAATGAGAAATAATGAAATCTCTATCACAATTTAAAAATTTTATCTTATTAATTGAATGGAATTTTGAGGGGATGGTAAGTAATGCTGCCTTTAAAAACAACTGAGTGACATTCTCTAAATTTATATAATTGAGGAAAGGATTAGTTAGGAAGGGGAGAGAAACTATTGCTGTGATTTATGAAGTTATAATTTTGTTGCTGTTTTAACAATAGAGCCATTACTAAACATGTACAGATTTAATGAAGTATTCATTTGAAATGAGTAAAAAATGCCAATTTAAAAAAATTATCAGCCTTTTGGACTGATAATTTTCAAAATTCATCCTGATAATTTTTTTTTTCTGAAAAGTTCAGGTTTCTGTTGATACAAGTCATTGAGATATAAATTCCTTTTTTTTGTTTATGCAAATAAAAGTTTGATCTTGTCTCTTTCTGTCAAAGTTACTAATTGTTAGGGCCGGCCCCACGGCCAGGTGGTTAAGTTCGTGTGTTCTGCTTCAGCAGCCTGGGTTTTTCTGGTTCTCGGATCCTGGGCATGGACCTCTACACCGCTCATCGGGCCGTGGTGTGGCAGCATCCCACATAGAGGAACTAGAATGACCTACAACTAGGATACACAACTATGTGCTGGGGCTGTGGGGAGAAAAAGAATAAATGAGGAAGATTGACAACAGATGTTAGGTCAGGGCCAGTCTCCTCACCAAAAAAAAAAAAAAGAGAGAGCCTATTTAAAAAAAAAAGAATGTTCTCTGAAAAAAATAAAATAATAATTGTTGAGTAGTTTCTTCTTTTTTTTTCTTCTTGGATCATCAGTGTTAGCCTTTTTTTGCAGAAAGTTTTAATGTACAGTGGACATGATAGTGTGGTGCTGATTTTAGTGTGAAATGATTCTAAAATTTAGAGCATTGGGTTTCATTATTTTTTCTACTTCATCTCAAGGTGACAGCATTTAAAAATATGCTTTAAATGCCATTTTATGCTGGTACTTGAAATAGATACCATTATGTTAATACTTAAAAATATCAATTTTAATCAATTTTAATATTATTATTAAATATTCAAAAGGATTCACCCAGGTGTATGTGCATGTACTTTGGAAAATATATTTATTTTTTTTAGGGAATTAATGAGTACACTCTTTTAGTATGCCCGTTTTCCAAAGTATGAGATTCCCTAACAGGGAGTTGCTAAAACTCTGTATCTAAATATAGACAGTCGGTCTCTCAAGCAAGAATTCTGTGACTAATTTTCTTTTTAAATAGTTCATTTCAGCTCTTTGATTTGATACTTGTTGAATACACATTTGTTGAGAATACTGTAATTATTGTGGTCAGTTTTCTAATGCTGACTTATAGAACTGAGAACTTTATGTTGAGTAAATTTCAGAGATAATACCAAATTGTATAGATAAATATTGTCACCAACTATCATAGCTAACATTCCTTCCTCTTTTGCAGGCCAGTTTTTCTGTGGAAATAAATGTTGTGATAAAAAAGAAGGCTTAAAGAGTTGGGAAGTTAATTTTGGTTATGTTGAGCATGGTGAAAAGAGAAATGCCCTTGTTAAATTAAGTAAGTTAACTTTAGGTGTGATATGATTGATTGCTTCCAAGTTTGTCTAATAATTTAGATTTTAAAATATATTGGCTAATTTAAGATTCAATTAAACAATTTTAGCGTATCTTCCTGGAAGTGCTCTTTTTTTCTTAGAGCTTTGCAAAGTTGCAAAGAACTTTTGAGCCTAAAATTTTCATATTCTAAGCAATACAGTGACTTTTAGGTGACACAGTTCTAATACCAAATGTAAACCGGTAATTTGTAAAGTGAAGACCTCTTCTCATTAACTTGAAAATGTCACCAATGCAGAACGTCAGAAAAGGCAATGTAAAATCTCCAGTTAGCAGATAGCAATATTGTTGTGGTATGGATAATGAATAAATACACTCTCTCTGACTGTCAATGAAGAAAAAATTTAGGAGGGCATAATTGTTCTTGATATCAGTCTTAAAAGCTCAGGGTTATATCTCAGAATACAGCATTTTTTTTTAATATGCATGTTTCAGAATCTGTCGTTCATTCCTTTTTTTTTTTTCCCTGAGCTAGTCTTATTTGTCAGCTTTTCCTCTCCATTATGTTAACAGCCTTGTCTGAGTCCTGAATAAATATGCCCTCAGAGTTTTCTGCCCACTCCAGGTAGAAGTCAAGAATGCCCCTGTATGCTACTTAATACACACCAATCCAGATTAGTTTCTGAGTTCCTCCTGGAAGCGCTCATGAGGAAAAGTCAACTAGTGTGAGTGAATTTAAGACAAAAGAAGAGGCCACAATTGTGGAACTTTTTGAAAAGCTCTTTTCCATTTGAAAACTCTTAGAGTGCTTCAGAGGAAATAACTGTGCCCTCGCTATTGTGGTTAGATCTCTTTATGTGAGATGCACGTTAATGCTGCTTATGAAATACAGTTTGCTTTTAGAGTAAATTGACAGCACATTTTTCTAAAGTAATGTTAGAATATTGTCAATTCCTCAAGCATTCTAATGTCATTTTTATTACAGATATACGTTTTTTGAGGTGGAGAGAATCAGATTGTTTTCTTCAGATTATTTATTTCCCTTCATGGTAAAGGAATATAAGGAAAAATGAGAAATTGTGATATTACAAGTAGAGTAGCAGTGTAGTTATTCAACTTCAGTGATTCAGTGGTGTTAAATTTCTCTTTTTTTCAGGATTATGCCAAGAATGTTCCTTTAAATTAAATTTTTATCACAGGTAATATTATCTTTAAATATACTGTTGTTGATGTTGAGTAATATTGGACGTAGTTACTTATCTGCACTGGATAGCTAAATATAGATTTGGGTGGTTGCTGGTTTAATTAGTCGGTTGTATAGAATATCCAGCAATACTGTAAGACCACCTAAACCGGAGAACTGAAAGTTGGCCATGCCTTACTCTAGCCAAGCAGTTTTAAATGTAAAGGTCTAGGCAGGGTGGTAAATAGATGCCAGAATTTTTGGTTTGGAGTCAATGTTCAGATACCATAATATTCTTAGAAACTATATTGTAAAGGAGATCTTCATAAAGTGATTGTTATGTCTCATTTAAACAGTATTTTAATTGGAGTTTGTCATTCTTACAAGGGATTATATACCTCTCTATTCATTTCAAAGGTCAAAGTCATGCTCCTATTGAATGAGCTAGAATGTGTCTGCCGTATTGAGTGGGGGAGGAGTATCAGTGTCCTGCAGTGTGCAGTATATATAAGATCATAGGCTTTGAGATCGGACCCCTTTGTATTCCTCTCAGATACTCAACTTACTAGTTATCCTTTCAGGCAAGCTGCTTTTAACCTCTGTAAGACTCAGTTTTGTCATCTCTAAAAGAGGACACGAAGGTTATTGTGGGGATTAAATGAAAGTGCTTGTAAAGGGCTTGACACAGTACCTTGCATGTGGTAAGTCAAACGTAGTGGAGGCCCTGGCTTTGAAGATGTTCAGACAAAATCCCTGTGACCTGTCGTGATTGTTGTCAGGTTTCATGTCCGGAATAACAGTTGAAGTCTAACAGTAAGATTCTGCAACTTTGTAAAATGTGTATGTTAGTATATTAATTTTAAAATCAGCTTTGTTATAAATGTGCCCTACCTAGTATTTTAGCTATTAAAAATGAATATTAAATAATTAATAATTTTCAGTTCTTAAAATTAGTAGAATTTTTAGGTTACTTGAATAGCCTAAACTTTTATTTCCTCTCCATCAATGATACTGAAAGATCCCAGAGATGTATTTTTGACCTTGACTTTGGAGCTTCATTTCAAATTTGAAATGATTCTTATGAGAGGCAGAAAAGTGGTTACTGTCTTATATAGTGTTGCAGAATTTGGTGTAAGTGCCTTAGTCTGGAAAGTCTGATAAGCAAGGGTCTTAAAATAACCATCTGTTGTCTCTTCATCCCCCTTCCCAGTACCGGTTTCAGCATTATCGCCTTTTCCTACTTATTTCTTTTCTTAACCACTTGCCAATGGCTTGCCATCCATGGTACTGACAACCTTGTAAACCTGGCCTAGAAGAGAGAAAGCTACAGCAGTAAGAGGATAAACGGTCTGAAGTAGACATAGGAGTTAACAATAAAGTCATCCTCCTTCCATTATGCCTTTACTATATATTCCTTTATCCTTAAGAGAAGAATTTTCTATTTCCTGGTGGTTTAGAAATGTTACAGTGGTTTTCTTCTTGTTTTATGTGTTTTTTCAAACTGTAGGTAGATAGGAATTATGGAAATAAGATTTGTTTTTGTAATTTTCTTTTAAATGGCTAAATGATAGAATATAAAAAGGAGGAAATGAGTAAACCTGTGATTTATATTTACTAAGGTTTGTATACAGAACTTACAAAAAACAATTCTTTGTCTCAGTGTGTTCAGGCTTCATTATCTTACAGAATTGTCTTAATTAATATACTAAGCTAAAATATTTACAGACTCATTTAAGGATTCCTTATTATGTAAATTACATTTTTTAAAATAAGTACTTTAACTGATTTGACTTTTTTGCTCATTGGTTTTTATTTTTTGTAAAAACCAGTTGAAAAAGTTAACTTTAATTTTATATTGTTCAACATAAAGGAGAAAAGAGGTCAAGTCAAAAAAAAGAAAGAATAAAGCCAAAAAAGATTGTGAAGAGTCATCACATAAAAAATCCAGATTATCTTCTATGGAAGAGACCTCCAAGAAGAAGGATAAAGGTAAAAGGAAATTAAGATATAACATCTACTCAGGTTTCTGAATGTGAAGTGTAATCCGCCATGTGTCTCAAGTGTAGAACTTAATTGGTGAATGCATTTAGAATTCTATTTTATAGCAGTTAAAAGGAAACTGAAGAATTTAGATAAGAATTTACAGTAACTTACAGGAGTTTCAAGAACAAGATTAGTTTTGATTCATTTTTGGCAGACGATATAATATTGTAAACAGCATTCTAATTCCTAGCTTTGTCACTTATAGACTTGTTACCTTGAGCAAGTCACTGAACTTCTTGCGTTTTACTTTCGTCTGTAAGGAGGAATGGTGTGAATGCCTGGCCTCTGTACTGCTTGAGCATATTGTGGAGAATCAAATAAGAATGTGAAGGACACTTTAAACACTGTAAAGCAGTACATGGTCTCTAAGTCACTATGAAATTATAACATTATGATTTCGATTATCATGGTCTGTGTGATCTTACTAGCTTATGAGCTGCTTGAAATGATGGACAGTGATTTATACCTGTCCTCAGGACCTAGCGTGGTACTGTTCACATACACTTAGTACATAAGTATTAAATTCAAATCTGTCAGTCAACTGCTTACTTCTTCCTCAGCAGTCCTTAAGCTCTCTAGGCCTTAATCTTCATGTGTAAATGGTCATTATAATAGTACCTAGTTCATAGGATTGTTCAGAAGTTGAAATGAGGTGATGCATGTGGGCAGTTTGCGTAGTACTTGGCACATAGTTAGCTATTATGAAGTTTACTGCTAGTTGCTTTTTCAATCCATAGTAAAGTAGGGTCAACTTGGCTATAACTGAATGTGAATCAGACTTATATTAGGTAGGTAATAGTAGCTTGAATTAGATTTAGGCCAATGCTAACATAATGCTTAGACAGGAGAGGGCTCCCTTGCTGCAGCTATGAAGATCATTAGCTATGTTACATTCTTACATGCATTTTTTTCTTCTTGCATATCATAATATATTGAAGCATATAGTATCATCAAGTTTTAGACTTGGTATAATTGATAAATGATGAGAGGGAAATACTGTTATTCTATTATTTATTGAGAACTGGAATATGAAACCGAATGCCTTGTTGTCTCTATCTTAATCATTTCCCAACTCCAAAGTAAATTTTAATTAATAAGTGAAAATCTAACTTGTTTTTAAAAATTTTTATTTATCCTCAAGTGTTAGTAAAATATTTAATGTATCATGTTTGAGAATTTTGTTGCATTCATTATTGTGTTATATAATATTGTTGCATTCATATCATAGGATGATACCGTGTTAATCATTGCATATTCCAAATTAAAGAAGAACTAATCCTTACCTTGTAAAAGTTTATTCAGTACCTTCAAAATAGATAATTAGGTAGCTGGATACTGGGGATGAGGGGTGAGGTTGGACCCCTCACATTATACATTTATGTACACGTAATCTTCCTTATAAATGTTTTTCCTTAGTGTTACATATTTCAGTAGATGACACCTCGGTCAGCCTAAAAACTAATATCAGAAATCTGGAAGTTATCCTTGATGCTTTCTTTTTTCTCATTATTTATGTTTAATTTGTCACGAAGTTCTATCAGTTTTACTCCAAGAATATATATTTCTCAAATTCTCTCCACCCTAGTTCAAACCATGCTGTTTTCTCATCTCAGCTACTGCTGTATTCTCCATATGGTTCTGCCACTGTCTTGTCATCCCCCTTCCCCTCCCTTTAATCCATTCTCCATAAACCAATGATTTCCTGTTGTTCTTGGGATCTAACCAAAATCTGGACGAAGCTCAGAGTCTCTATATGATCTGGCATTCAAGGCTTTTCTCACCCTTCTCCACCTCACTTTCACAGTCCACCCACATAACCCTTCAGTTTCTAGAAATGCCAAACTTATTTCCATTTAGGAACTACATAGATGCTGCCTCCTCGCTTCCTAAAACCCCCGTCCCATCCTAACGCATCCTTCAGGTCTAAGCTTGAATGTTAACGTCCTCAGGGATCCTTTCCCGACTCCATCCCCGACCACGAATCTAAATTAGGACTCCCGTTTATAATGCTGTCACAGCCCTGGAACTTTTCCTTCATTATACATATGACAACTGCATAAAAGCCTAAGGAGGGCAGGGATTCCATCTGCTGTGTTCAGTGCTGGATCCCCAGCACCACACTAGCACATGTTAAGCACAAATAATAAAGAATGAGAAAATGGAAGACTTTGAAGAGTGTTTCAGGGCCACTTCAGAGATAGAAAAACCAAAGTGAAGTGAAATTGAGACATCTGTTTCTTGTTTATTCAGAGCACCTTTGATAGCAGAGAGTGCAGAATATAGTTTTTTCCCCAGCTTCTGTGGTATAAAGCAGAAAATGACAACATGTTAGCACACTTTTAGGAAAACTGTGTTGAACTCTTTAATGTCTTCTTATCTGGGATCATCTGGAATTAGGTTGATCTTGATGTGATACTCTTGCCAGACCACCTTAATTTGGCCCAAACTTGAGTACTAATTAATAAATGCTTAATATCTCAGCTGCATTTGGACTGTTGACACACTTTCTCAAAACAATCTACTCTCTTGATTTTCTTTTTATCTTTCTGGCCTCTCCTCAGCCTCTTTTGACTATAGTTTCTTCTCAGTCTTACCCTTAGGTCTTGGAGTTGCTCACGGCTCTTATAAAACTTCTCTCCTTTCTCTCTCTTCTCCCTGTATGATCTCATCTACTCGCATGGCTTCAGGTTACTCTCATACAGAATGTTAAATAAGTGGATGGATGGGTGGATAATAGGATGGCTAGATGGCTGAACAAATGGATAGAGAGAAAATGTAAGAAAGGAAGATGAGTAGCTTGACTTTGAGGACCAGTCTGTTTTCGCAGGTATGAGCAGAACAAGGTATTTGGGTAGACTGTCTTGGCACGAAGTTCAAGATCTTTCCCCTCTCACCACCACCTCAGCCCCTAGCTCAGTTCCTTGGGGAGGCCTTTCCTGACACCCTTCACCCGACTCCTCCAGGCAAAGTTAGGTCCCTGTTACACATTCCAATAGCACCCTGCACTTCTCCTTTAGCAGTACATATCACCCGTGGAATAACTTGTTTATTTTCTGTTAAGAAAGGGACCGTGTGACTTGTTTAATTCTTTATCTCCAATTCCTAAGCATAGTGCTTATTCCACATAGTAGGCATCCCATAAATGATGAGTGAGTCAATCAGTGAAATCAACTAGTTTCTCAATGTTGAAAGGAACATCAGAGTTCAGCCCTGGAGTCATGATTGAAAAGACATTCTATGATTTTGCTTTTCAAAGTATGGTCCTCTGGCATTGTCATCATTTGGCAGCTTGTTAGAAATGCACAATCGCAGACCTTTGCAGATCTCCTGAATTACAATTGCACTTTTAAGTTCACAGGATGATTCATATGCACAATAAAGTTTGAGACGCACTGCTGTGTATTCTGTACTTCTTCTGCTTTTGCTTTAACACCTCTAGGGAGAAGGGACCCACTACCATCCAAAACATTCCTTTACATTTTAGATGGGTGTAATTGCTAGCAGATTTCCCTTGCATTTAGCACAAACCTGCAACTTCTTCCCTTTGGTTCCAGTTACGCCCCTTGGCCTCCAGAGTAAGCCTAACCTCCTGTTTACCTTTAGACGTTTGGAAGTGGGTATCAGGTTCCTCATATGACAGAGATGACAAAATACATTTATTTTGCCGCCAGAAGCTTAGCTGTGTTTTCTGTGGTCTCTCTGATGACTAGGAAATGAAGAGTGGAGAAATAATAACATAAAGCTGTTGCTGCCTTCTTTGGAGCTTTACCCTGTAGTTCTCACACCCTCTTTGTCTGGCCTTAAAGGGGCCATTCATATGACAGCTTTGGCTAATGAGACCCGCTATCCAGGGAGATTAGAGGAATTGTTACTCTCTATGTTATCTATCTTTTTGTTTTTTTAAGATTTTATTTTTTTTCCTTTTTCTCCCCAAACCCCCCCAGTACATAGTTGTGTATTCTTCGTTGTGGGTCCTTCTAGTTGTGGCATGTGGGACGCTGCCTCAGCGTGGTTTGATGAGCAGTGCCATGTCTGTGCACAGGATTCGAACCAACGAAACACTGGGCCGCCTGCAGCGGAGCACGTGAACTTAACCACTCGACCACGGGGTCAGCCCCGTTATCTGTCATTTTTTGATTTAGCAGCCTTCAGAAATATTTCCCCTGAGGTCTTATTACAGGAGACTCTGAATAGTGATGAGTTTTTAAAATTATGTTAATAGATCTTCAGTACTTTTTCTATTTTCTTCACTGGATAACCTCATTGTAGAACTAAAGATGTTTATTTTATGACATAATTTTTTGTGTGGTTTTCAGTTACTGAGAATTAATTCTCACCTGTATAGGATCTTTGAAAAGTTATTGTGAAAAGCAAGTATTTATTCATAAACTGTGTTCAGATGTTGAACATCTTTATAGATAGAATATTGATTATAGTGCAGCTCATCTATGAAGTTTTGGGAGTTTTTAGCAACATGAGAGTTTTTTTTTACAAGTGTTCATTATTTTTTTAGCTTTGTGCTGGGTATTCCAGGCTATACAAGAGCGTAAAATACCCTTGCCTGAAAGAACTGAACATTTTAATTAGATTAGTCTAAGGAACACAAAAGATTAGAAGACAGTGACATGCTTTTCTGTAAGACTATAAAGTAAACTAGACTGTTGGGAAGAATTCTGGTTACAGCCAAAGCTGTTGCACCACTGCACGTTGATTTAACAAAACAATACTGTTTCGTTTTCAGGACATTCATCCTCAAAGAAATCAGAAAATTCCTTAAACCGTAAGTATCAAGTATTTTCTTTATTTAATGAAAATATATAGGTTCAAGTTATTCGAAGTTTGGGTTTCCCATGAATTGTGATTGCTCTGATGTAAATTATTTTTTGTTTTTGTACCACATGAGGAAAATCATAGAAATAAGACCAAAAGTGTGTGATTTCCTCCCC